GAGGTGTGTCTACTACTCCACTCCATCTTGTATGTAAACGGTGGGAGATGAATACTGAGAAAGACCTCTCAATATAATTCAATACAGAACAACACCACTAATAACTACAACTTCAATAATGAATACTCTACTAGAGTACTGAACACTCTATTACACAACACTTTTACACTACACTTACATCTCACTGGTTTATAGTCCTGTCATCTGTTCGTTTGTGCACTTTATTTTAGATTTCATCTTTATTTTATATCTCTCTGTACATTTTTATGTTTCTACTTGCACTGATTGTTGTTGATTGTTAAATGTTTGCACCTCCCGTCACGCCAAATTCCTTGTATGGTCAACATACCATGGCAATAAACGGTTCTGATTCTGATTCTGAACAGTACCACAGACCGGATGGCACAGCTGTTGTGTTGGACTGCATTAGAGCGTAGAGCTGCACCAAACTAAGTGCTCACTGAAGGTATTGAGCTACTATTTCTCTCTCGTTTGTTTTGGAGTAAATAGCTGAAGTGGATATTTAGTGTCAACAACAGACCGTCCTGAGGAAAACAGCCCGTCCATCGACTAGAGACCAGGAATGTGGCAACGCAACAACACCAGCAGTGAGAAACATCGTAGGCCAACAGCACAAGGCACTTTCCATGAATGGGGACTGAAGAGATGTAGGACGGGCTGTGCCCGAGTCTCCTGCTGTTGACTGGCCAAAGTTCAATGCAGACTCACTGATAGGTGGTGCAGCTCACGGCACACCACTCAAACCGTCACTATATCCTGACAGTGGTACATGAGACAGAGGATGAGACACGTTAGAGGCCAACCTCAAGCAGCACCCCCACCGCCCGGAGCAAACGACGACACCGGTCCGTACATCCTGCATGATCGCTACTGCACACGTGCAAACTACCAGTGGTGTATAGTAACCAAGTAGAAATACTTCGTTACTGTACTTAAGTTGTTTTTTTGGATATCTGTACTTTACTTTACTACTTATATTTCTGTTTACTTTTACTTCACTACATTTTGCAAAGAAAACTGATACTTTTACTCCGATACATTTCCCCTGAAACCTTCGTTACTCGCTACAAAATCAAATCTATCTTTAGAAACAAAATGAATCATGAGACCAGCGTCGGGGACTGTGGTGGAACACAGACTGCAACAAGCAGGTTTGGCGAATCAGTGGTCCTAGCTTGCAAGTTAAATCATTGGTTAATCACGTTAATGCGCAATTGCAAACAAGTGCTCTCAAAGCCGCGGTGTTTTGATTCCCAGTGATGCCCAGGATGCTATATGCTATAGCTAGCGAGCGACTACATGAGTAGAATTCCACTCTACGATAACTGATTTCATGATGGAAGCAGAAATGGAAGCACCTGCTACTCCCGCAACAAACGACGGTGGTGACGAAGACCAACACCCGTGGATCGCTAGCGAGTTAGTGAGCTGAGGAAGTGTTGACAGTTGTGCAGCTATAGTTGGCTAACGTTAGCTATAGCTAGCCACCACACCATAGGATTGACAGGAGCCGCGAGAGCGCAGCATTAGTGTTAGCATTAGTGTTAGCATTAGTGTTAGCATTAGGGAAATCCTTCCCAGCTGTGCGCAAGCTGTCTGTGAAGCAGAACACACCTCTACCTGCCTCAGCGGCCTGTGAAAGGCTAGTTAGCATCAGGACTAGTCTTCAGCCCAAGAAGAACAAGACGGAATTCTCGCAATTTTGAAAACCAACTTCTTTTGAAGATGAACAGGACATTTTTCAGTTTCAAGTAATGACTGGGTTGTTACTTTCGGTGCTGCTTTAGTATTGATCATGTTTTGATATTTGAGTCATTTTGTGGATGATCAGATGGAGTTATGATGGTAGCAGTCGCCCAATTGCAGATTCAGCTTGAGCAAAACCTTTGCCTATTGTGTTCAAATCAGGCCCATAGGAGTTTACAAGGCAGGTGTCCTTTCTCACAACACTGACCTGATGCATCAAGTGGATATTTGTTGCTGAACACAATATTATGCATTTGCCCTCTACATCCTCTAGTCGGAATGAGCATACTTATAAACGCACTGTTACAACTCCTTCATAGTGTCATATTGCTTTACGGAGAATTATGATGATAAGTTCATAGTAGATGCAAAAGTATACTTATGTACAATATGTTATGTTGAACATTGTTGCTCCTGGATGGATCACAGCCAACCCAATTATTTTCAACACAGCTCCATGTCCTTGGTCATGGTGGCCACAGCACTTAAAAGAATAAACTTCATAATTCTCATAATTCTGACCCTTTGCTTTTTTATTAACAGCATTTACTTGTACTTTTACTTTCAATACTTAAGTACATTTAATATCAGAAAATTACTTTTGATACTTAAGTACAATAAATATCAGATACTTTAAGACTTTTACTCAAGTAGTATTCTAATAGGTGACTTTTACTGGAGTAGTTTTCCAGTAAGGTATCTTTACTTTTACTCAAGTATGGCTTTTGGGTACTTTATACACCACTGCAAACTAGTACTAGACTCTTGCTCTTGATCAACGCTCTTGTGCACCTTATTTCATCCCGATAAGGCCGGAGGAGAGCTGATTCATGTTAGCCGTGTGCAGCACAGTCCTACTGGCTAAAGAAAGGGGCTAACCGCTAACGTGAGGAGGTAGCATTGAGTTACATATGATGCGTTCAAGCTCTATTCAGACTATTGGGCAAAGGTAAATTATAATGTTATCATGTTGTGTTCACATGTGATCTTGTAAAAAGTGTTTGAGAAGAAGTTTTAACAACAATGTAGAAGAGATATCAGAGAGGGAGTTATGGCCTTCTAGACCTCCTAAAACCAGCTCATCACATATCAGAGAAACCCACTAAACAAGTATTTACTCTTTCTTTGAAAGGCAATAACTACTATAAATGACCATAATAAGGTAAAAGGATATATATATATATATATATATATATATATATATATATATATATATTTCCAAAAAGGCCCCGTATATCTTGTCCGATTCCTCGATTAATTGATGGAATAACTGGTAGAATACTTTACTATAATATTCCATAGCTGCCACCCTAATCAAACGTGACAAAGTGAAATGTGTCTCTGAAGAGGTTGAACTTACTGAGAACGATCACCTGAATCTGCAACTCCTCGAGGCCTTAAGGAGCTTTATGGCACGTTCATTGTTTAGCTGTCCGGCTCACAATGCTGTAAAAACCCAGAGCACACGGAGCTGCTCAGCAGCAGACAGACTCCGTCAGAGAGCAGCTGGTGGACGTAGTGGAGCATTTAGCAGCTGAAGAGACACATATTCTCCCAGGAGTGGGTGGAGACCCAACACGGAGCTAAAAGAGCTCCATGAACGTGTGACTAAGCAGCTGTTTGTTATGTTGACATTGTCCTGTTTGATTTATCGGCTAATACAGTTCTTAACTTGTTCATATAGCCTACAGATATCACCAGTCACTTAACACTTATAGAAATATATAAGCACATTATTTGACCTCCTCCCATCGCAGTTATCGATGTTGTTTTCATGTGGAACCATTTATTCTTCATTTCAGTGACATTAGACCCTCAGGAGACTCAGCATTAACAGCATTCGTTATTCGTCTCCTTCGCCCCTTAATTCTGCTGCTGAGATCTCTGAAAGCAGGACGTGAATAGAGGACATATGGAGCCTTACATGGGATTATCGGGTGTTATTTATGCTAATTTACAATCCTCGTGAACACACACTTATGGGCTCACTTGAATGCCAATAAGTCAGAGAAATTAAGGACGAGATTTAATGACAATATTCTTTGAGGTCCAGTGATTCATAATCAGAGATCATGGATTCATATCGTCATGTTACACACCAACAAGCAAGTAATCAGTGGGAAATTAAAAATCCATTTTGATGTTAAGAAAAGCATTATCGAATGCATTTCCCCATAAGAGGCCCATATGATTGTAAACAATGAATTCAGCTGAATCATTGAGATCTCCAGTGGACCACCAGGTCCACCAGGTCTGGGTTTACCCTCCACTCGACTTCCCTGCTGTAATATCAGTCTCCAACACATTGCACGCTGCAGTGAGCCATGCAGCACACTCCTCTAGCTCGGTGTGATGGACACGGTGTGTTGATGAAACACTGGCTGGCTGTGTGGAAAAGTCAGAGGGGTTGATAGAAACAGAGGAAATAAAGATTTACTAACAATTACAGTTGATTTAATCAGCACAGACTGTTCCTCCTGGACGCTCCACAGGAGAGAATAACATTGTTCTGTATAATACATCCTGATTCCTGAGAACATAAAGGAACATTCTGCACTTCCTGATGATGTGATGATGCAGGATTCACACATGGACCCAAACTGTTGCCCTAGCAACAGCACAGCAATGTGCTGCCCATCTATTTGTGGTTGTGTGGCTGTTTGGATGTCCCGCCTCCCCGTCTATGCATCAACCGCTGCTTTAAATCATCCATGCACCATCATCTTTAGGATGACATATAGACCCACAGAGGAAGCGTCCTCCACGTGTTCTCACCACTAAAGCCCAGCACACACACACACACACACACACACACACACACCCTGCTGTGGGATTCTGTTTCCAGGGACTGATAAGAGACGATCTTTGTCCTTCAATAATTCAGATGAAGAGTTACAAACGATGACCATTAAGAGACACGTGACACAGACACCAAGTGCGTCCACCTGCACCCCAGCGGGGGAGCCGGATGGTGTTGCACATGACGTGATGGAGGGGGGGGATTATCAGCAGACCACAACGGGCCACAAACAGTGACAAAGTGCCTTCTTGTAAACTGCGTCAACAGCCTGCGCGTCATCTCGGTCTGCTGCGTCCAGACAAGAAAAGACAAACAGCGAAGTTGCCTGAGGAATGTGAAACGCTGCATATTACATGGTGTGTCGGGCGCGCGCGCACACACACACACACACACACACACACACACACACACGCGAGGCTGGAAGGCGACTCACTGTGGCCGAGGTCAGGCTGCTGTCCGTGAGCGTGAGGTGGTGCGGCTCCCACCTCCGCAGGAACTTGGAGGTGAGGATCTTGCTGAGGAAGGTGCGGGGGTGCTTGACCACGCACACCTGGATGTCCCCCTCGTGCAGCAGCTTGTAGCGCATCCCGCCGCTGCTGCAGTGGTGCAGGGACCTCTTGCACGGCCCCGCGCTCAGCTTGGTGTTGTTGTTCCCCTCCGACATCTCCCCCAGCAGAGGCTTGTTCTCCTCGCACTGATAGAACTGGTTGTTGTGCAGGTCGTTGGCCCCGCCGCCGCCGCCGCCGCCGCCGCTGCTGTTGAAATCCATCGCTCGGTAATCCAGCAGGTTTATTGTTTTCCAGATGAAACTCTCGGGGACGCGTTGGAACGGACACGAGGATCCTACATGTAAAGAAGGAAACAGAAGCGGATGAGGTCGTTGGGATCGAGCTGGGGGGGGCTCCCTGCCTACCAGCCGCTACAACACGACCTGCCTCACTGAGGACGGGGCCGAGCCTGGCGTAGAAACACCGCGATCAGTGTTTCACCAAAGCGTATCCGACCTCTTTATGGCACACAGCTCATACTCAGCAGTCATCCACCATTTTCCTCCCCGCACAATGCCCCATAAACTGTCTCCGCGGTGCGCGTCTCTCCACCTCCCCCCCAGCAGCAGCACCAGCAGCAGCGAGCTATTCAGTATGTTGGGACCATGGCCTTATCCGTTCCGTCCGTCCCCGGTGCCAAACCGAATAATCCACAGCGAGGAACGCGACGGGAAGAAGCAGAAGGCGGACGGAGTATCCGATGGCGGCAGCGCTAGGCTCCTCCGCGGGGACTTGTGTTCATTACAGACTTCCTTTTTCTATTCCGTCCTCTCGCCCCCTCTCTCTCGGTGTAACAAGGAGCCAGCACTCTCCGGCAGCGCCGCGCCGATTGGTCCCCGCTCGTTCATGTGATACCGGACTGACGTCAATGGGGAGGCGAGCGGATGAGCCGTGTGTCTTTTTTGCGCTCGACTGTCTGCCGAGGGCGCACGCTCTAACCCCGCCCCCTGACCCTCCCCCCGACCCCTCCCCCTCCGCGTTTAGAAAACACGGACTTCAAGTGAATCCGCCTCTTTTGAGTTTCTGTGGAAGTGATGCAGCCTCTCGATGTCACGTCATGTTACAGGAAGCATCGCAGAGGAAGTGATGAATACATAACATGCTGTTTCTCTCTATTGTGCGCATCGTTCCCTCTCGTGTCTGTCTGTAGCTTAATGGAGGAACAACTCTCTTTTACCGACAATGTCTTCACATGTTCGTAATACTGCAGTTATAGAAATATTGTAATGCTTTTGCTTCTGAACCCGGGTTATTATAGCAACTCAATTAAAGTGATGTCATTTAAGGAAAATATTGTCTGTTGATAAACTAATACAAATAAATAGTTAATAATAGTAAATTCATTTGACTTTCAGTTGTTTCGCTGTAATGTATCAGCCCCCACGATTCCACGGACACTGAGTGGTCCTGACCCTCTAGAGATCTTTAAAGTGGTGCTGAGATCACACATTGACACAAACTAACTGAGACTAAACCTAAACACTCTGAAAGCCAATTAAAGAAAACTAACATGAAGTCAAAACTATATGAACCTTAGTCTGAACTCTGACCTTTCCTCCGTTTGTGTGCTCCTCGTGCTCACGTTGTGAATAATGATATATATATATATATATATATATATACAATAATAATAATATGTGTGTAATGAACAGCACCGCTCTGGACACCGTTAGCCGTCTCACTAGTCTCCATGAGAAACTAAATTCCAGATCAAGTTTGGACTCAGGTAGTTCCGGTACAGAGAGATAAGCACACCTCGCCACACCTCTGCAGAGATTTATTGTCTTCGTCATTCAGCAGGGCGGGTGAGCAACAATACAAGGCCCTGAAGCCATGCCTTCCGCTCAAAGAACCATCCCAACGCTCCGTCACTTCTAAGCCAGCCAATGCTCACGTTCCACTCAGAAATATGAGCAGCCAGACAGAGTTGAGTTCTCTTGCTTCACTGTCATGGCCGTGCCCACAAGAAAGAACAAAAGAAAAAGCTGTGTTCAGGCCACCAATGGGATTTGATTGAGGACATGAAATATACAGAACCCATTTTTTTAACCCAGTTTTACATGCAGATGTAACGCTGTGGGAGCAACAGTGTGACCCAGCAGGTCATCAGTGTTGTGTCCAGATGCTTCAAACTGAAGCAGGTGGCAGTTCAGAAGCGTAGCTTATTGATGAAATACCCACGAGCATTTTATAGCAGCCTGAAGGAAACGTGTGCTGTGTTTAAAGGTGTCAAATAATGACCAGAAGCTATTTAACAGATCCAGGAACTAAAAGGCTCTGCTCAATGTGAAGAAATCTTCTGACAAAACGTTACGACCCTTACAGGTGACCATCTCCAACCCTCACTCAAGCACCCCCCCAGCGGACAAAACCCAGCAACACCCACCAACACCTGGTCTTTAGTGGATCAGCACTCATTCACAGCAGCTCCTATCGGCACTGATGGAACCTAGACATGCTCCTCTTTCCAGTGCAACGTAATGTGTTGCATGTTAAAAGGAATATGATACATGAAATGCACAGGGATTCATTTTTATTATTTATTGATGTACTAAACATATAATTGCTATGACAACAGTCAAAACACACTTCATTCAAACTCGACACACACAACAAGCCCTTCATTCACAGAGTTAGAGATGAGGAGAAAGCTCAGCCGCAGACTCCATTGACAGAAACAGTACTGTGACCTTGCTGATTGGCATAAAACACACTTCATTCCCCAACGGAACGGAAGAGACCTGCGTTGCTCTCCCTGAGGCGTTTTCCCCCGTTCAAGTTCTGGGGGAGTTCTTCCTGTTCCGATGGGACGGTCCAGGCACAGAGGACGTGGTGAGATCTACAGATTGTACAGCTCTCAAATCTGTGATTTGTGATATTGGGCTTTACAAATAAAATAGAATTTAATGGAAAATGAAAGTCATTCAAACTCGACAGAAACAAAACAAAACTCATCAAACCGTCGCTGTCTTTACACTGATCTAATAGTCACCTTCTCTGGTCAAGAGTTTGAAGCAGAGACTGAACCAATTAAAAGAAAAACACTTTCACTGTTCAGTAAATCTGTTTTCCGGCATGTTGTGCCGTGCAATGGAAAAGAAGTTCATCGCCTGTTTTTTAAAATCTGTAAGCAGGTTTTACTGGTGTTTACAAAACCAGCATATACTTTTTCCATCAACAGTGTGTTATGCAGGTAATAGAGATGATAATCTCCATAATTCAGAGAAAAAAACGAGCAGAGTCTCATAATTCGGAGATAGTACATTTTTCTAATAGTGAATGCATTAGGCTCTGATTAGACAGAGCGCGTTTTAGCACCTTGAACATTCATCTGAGAGCAGAAAAGCACCAACGCCATCAACACTTCTCATTGTGGTGATATGTGAGCGGCTGTGTTTGACTTCACCAACCGTACCTGATAGGAACAGCAGGAGGCAAATGTTTTCATTCATTAAACTACGAGACTCGACTACTATTAACTATTAGGTAGCTATATGGTTTGTGCTAAGCTAACGTTAGCACTCATTTGGTGGTAGCACCTGTGTTTCTCCTCCTGTGACAAGTCAAATGTCTTCTCTGTTAAAAAGGCCTATTCCAGCTTCCTCTACTACTAAATATTATAATGAATAATGATAACTCGACTCCCATGTCATTCCTAAAATGCGTATACAGCAGTCTATATATTTATACAGACATGAGTAACTTTAGAGTTTACTCATGTCTGCCTCCTAGTTTTGTGCCTCTTCCCCAAAACAAACAAAGAAATCACCAGCAACGTGTCTCTCCAGGAACAATGTCCTAGTTCCACATGGACTATTTGCTTGGTATAAAGTATTTAATGAAAAGGTGTCCAAAGAGAAGATGTGCACCTCAAACTAAATTCCATTCACCTTCCTTGTATTGAGGTTTTGGCAGCAAACTCAAATGGGATGTAAAAACCTGGACGTGTGGGAAGCCAAATTTGCATCCCTCAAATACAAACTGACAAATGCACTCCAAGTCAAACATGGCTTATGTTTAATACACGTAGGGCACGACATTATCTGCCAAAAGCAGGTACAAGAAATCCTGCTCAATGACATCACTCTATTGAAACTCCCGGAGGAATGAGCCAGAGGGAGCGAGGCTTTAGAAACACAGTGTTCGGGCAGAGAAGCAGCAGTCTGAAGTGAGGCTTCACAGCTTCCCATCCCAAGGGTCCCCACTCCCAACAACAACCACCTCACTGGGAGCTCTGAGCTTTCCACATCTCCCCACCCGGGACGTCCCGCAGTCCTCCCAAAGCTTCTTTATATTCCGTTCTACCCAGAATCCCCCATCAGCCGCAACACCAGCCAGTCACCCAGGTCTCTCAAGCCAAGTATTGTTCTGGAGACGAGTTAGGACACGCCGGGCAGCCCGCCGGCAGACGAGCTGCTGTTGTGTCAACAGCCAGAGAAGGCCAAAGGGGAACGAAATAAGTGCAGGAAGAATGCAGTGTGTCATATGCCAGACTGATGTAATATTCTACATTATTTTGTTAGATATCTGACGGTATTAAATCAGTGCTGGAAATCCATAACAAACATGTTAAATCACATGAATTCCTTTGTGTATAGAAATTATAGTCAATTTAAATTGCATTCTCATGTACATGAAAGCATCAGAGGACCGGATACAATGTGATCATATCATAGAACACCGTGATCATACGACACTGAAGGAAGCTCTTAATACAGTGGAGTAGAGGCACACATAATATTTCCATCCATGCAATGAGACGTCACAATATTAATCAAAAATGTTGAGATTCCATATGAAATATGAATGTGTTATACACATGAGAAAACAAATGGTATGATGGATGGACATATGCTCTGCTGGTCACACCAGTTGTTCACACGTGTTATTCTGTGTTAGGGATTTATTTTGTCTTTGTATCAACAGACTGCATTTTTATTTGATTTTTCTTCATTCTTGTTTTCTTATTAAATTATTTTTAATTGACTAATGAATCTTCTCAGTATTTCTGGTGTGTTTCTCCAGGGTATTTTAGTATATTATTTAGAATTACACTGGCATTGATTACCATTGACTGTATAGAATCAAGCCCGTTTTAAACATTGTTGCTCTACCTCGTCATGAGTCTCATGAAGCACTGAGTGAAACATGTTGCTCTGATCCTGGATCACAGTTTTATGGACAGTTTCGTGCTCGCAACCACAAACGATTATGTTTAAAGCCTCAATTATGAAGAATTGAGGCTTTAAAGTCAGAATTAGAGGTAAATTCTAAACTGTAGCGTAAGTGTAACGGGTGAGGTAAGGACCAGAAGCAGTACGACAGACACAGAATAGTTGAATGAAGCTTTATTCCTGGCTGAACACACAACAGGTCAACAGTCTCAGATCAGCTCACATGGAGAAATCCACTCTGTGGAACGCCAAGCCGTCAGGGGAGAAGGCAGACAGGAACCAGAGGAAGCAGAGGCAGAATCTCGTGGTCGGGGACAGAAGGCTGAGTGGTTTACCGGGGCAGAGGCAAGGCGGAGAAGTCCAAACAGGCAGGGTCGGCAACGGGAAAACAGTCGGAGGATAAACGCTGGAAAGTCTGACAGTAGGTGCAGCAGAGTGAGCAGGTGAGAGTGATGAGCTGATGAGGTGGGTGTGACTAACAGGTGCACTGAATGAGCTGATGAGGTAGGTGAGAGATAGAGTGACAGGAGAGAAGAGAAGCTGAACTGTGACAGTAACAGTATAAAAGAGAAGAGTAATATTAGCCAACATAAGCTACCGATCCAGAACCCATAAGTGTATTAAACTGAGCAAGAGTGTGTCTTATTACTTGAGAATCTTCAATTGAATTTGTAAGAAGAGGATTGCGTCATGTCTTCTTTCAAAAGCTTTAAGTGGAAAAGCCTCAGTAGACCAAATGCTCTGAAACTATGACACATGGGAAAAGACTTGACAACCAGTGGAGCATTGATGGATCAGTGGTACAGTATCTTCTAGTCGTGAACCAAAGCGCCAAGTCAGCGCCGCGGCCTCCCACACACACACACACACACACAGTCACAGGACCCAGGTTAGCTGGAATCTGGGAGCAGTCACGAGAGCAGCTCACTTGAAGTGAATTAGCTCCATCCTGGTCATGCTAGGTAGCCTGTTAGTTAATCTCCTGTCTAGACATCTCCTGACCTGCACATGTTTACCATGTGCACATCTGAGAACTACACACAAGGCATTGTCTGTTCATTCTCAGCGCACATTATTCGGGAGCAGTTTAGCAGAAACACAACAGGATGTGGAGAGCACTATTTTAAATGCTGTCTAATGGAAATATCACTATAATATATATTATAGATGTTTGATGAACTGCTGGATGGAGCGCAGGGAGAATTCTAAAGCTTGTCAGTTGGACCAGCCATCCTGTGAATCCATCTCTTTCACAGCAAGATTCAATTCAATGTAGTAACTGCGTCAAATCACTTTTCAGACAGAGAGAGAGACAGACAGAGAGAGAGAGAGACAGAGAGACAGAGAGAGACAGAGAGAGAGAGAGAGAGAGAGAGAGAGACAGAGAGAGACAGAGAGAGAGAGAGACAGAGACAGAGAGAAGAGCTCCTTCTTCTCGGTTCAGATCAAAAGACAAACAGGAAACTGAAATTCTCCATTCTCTAAAATGTTTACTGAATGAATCAAACTGAAGTCTGCTGACATCAGACAATAAAAACTAAACATTCCTGCTGATGACATCATTAAGTGACAGATGTGACCGTGGTTAAGTGGAGAGCAGGGCCGACCTTCAATCAGAGGGTCGGCGGTTCTGGCTCCGGGGACACATGTTGATGTGTCCTTGAGCAACACACTGAACCCAAACTGCTGTGAATGTGTAGAATGTAAGTCGCTATGACTGTGATGTACTGTAATGATTGTAATGTAATGATTGGCCAATCAGCCGTGAATGATATGATGTCATCAGGCTAGATAATAAAACTGAGAGATTAGATTCATTAACAGGACAAACAACACGTTCTATGTTCCTCAATAGATACATTTATATCTGTGATTGTTAAATAATCATCTTACAGGTTTATTAAAACATTTCATGGTCTTCATCACTGTGAAACGCAGTAAGAGGACCTTGAGTTTTGTTTTAATCGCATGTTTGAAGAATTCCAAGAAAACGTCAACAACCACATGTGACAGCCTATAATTAAACATAAAGCACGAGCATCATAAACAAGCTCAGAGCATGTGACGGAGGACGTCTCTTTAAATCACAACTTACCCGTTTCTCTGCAGGTGAACGACGTGATCGTTTCCGTCCACACTGATGACATAAGACACCTGAAGACAGACAGAGGATCAAGTTTAAAGCTGCATTCTCTCTAGTGGCGACTCCTCTGGTTGTATAGAAATGTATAGAACCAGAAAATGTATTTTCTATATAGAAAATGAAGGACGACGTTCTTACCTTTTGAAACTTATTTAGACTTTTATGATATTTATTTATTTATAATAGTTTCCGTCAGATTTCTAATGTGTGCTGCACGGACATTGTTTTGATTTCAACAAGACGAGGTATAAAACATAACCTTTATATAACTTAAAGTTATATAAAGGTTACATAAAAAGTCAGTTTAAATGAACGGCGATGTTCATTCCGTTCCTTTTCATATGAAACAAAGCAGACAAAGCTTCAGAGGACACGTAGCCAGGCTAGCTGTCATCTGTTTACAGCCTTTATGCTAAGCTAAGCTAAGCAGCTGCTGGCGGTAGCTTCAATCTGAATCTCTCAGACAGAAGAAGAGGATTCACCTAAATGATAAAACTGTTGAGCTTCTAACGATATTATTGTGAGTTATAAACGTTAGTTAAGTGTTTATAAGCATGTAATAAATGCTGCTGAAGGAGTTAGATATGTGTCGCCTGCAGCGCATAAAAACATGTCTGAACACACACACACACACACACTCTGAGTATCACATTCCACCAGAGTGTGTGTGTGTTCATACTCATGTCCACACTCTGTTTCCATTTGAAAACGATCTCCGTCCAGACTAACACGCCTGAAACTCTGAGTTTTCAAACTCCTCCGTTTACGGTGCTCAAAAACGCCGGCGTAGTGAAGACGCTCCGTGTGAACGTAGCAGAACATGTGAGTTTCAAATGGACACGGAGTGATGTGGACGCGGCCTAAAGCTCAGCTGACTCATTACTCATCAGAGTGGAACCTTTCTTCTCACTGCTGCAGCTCTACTGGGGGACCCTTTCAGCTGCGCACACACTGAGTCTGATATTAATTATTATTATATTATCATAATAATGTTATTTATATACTAATATATGACTAAATACAGAGGTCACGTATCTACCATGTGACCGTTGTATTAAAGTCTTTCTTAGAGAAACGTAAACAAAGATAAACCTAAACCTCCTGAGCCTCATGGTGGATCTCATCATCATGCTCATTATGGGATGTTAGACGACGGTTCTACTGTATTTCACATCTCGTGACTTCCAAAGTGTTTTGGTGAAAGTGTCGAGAGATACTGAGCTGCTGACTCAGCGAGGTCACACAGACAGGAAGTAGATCTGACTGAGGTCACACAGACAGGAAGTAGATCTGATGGCTCAGCTGTTCCTTCTGCTGAGTGTTGTGTATTACTAAAAACACCTTAACGTTATAGTAGTAAAACAGCTCAGCACCTGATTGGGGGGTCTGCCGCCCGCGTCCCGCCTCAGCCGGCCTCCTATTAGTCGAGGGACAGTCAGCTGATAGGAGGAGAACTCCGTCTGCTGAGAGTCTGCAGGAGGAAACAAACAGAGGCGAGTCAACATGGAAACTCATCAGACTGTCAGAGATGTGGAGGAGTACAAGGAAATACTCAAGTACAAGTACTCCAGATACTTCAAAGTACTTGCTGTGTTAAAGCTGCATTCTCTCTAGTGTCCACCAGGGGGCGACTCCTCTGGTTGTATAGAAGTCTATGAGAAAATGACTCTACTTCTCTCTTGATTTATTACCTCAGTAAACATTGTAAACATGAGTTTATGGTCTCAATCTCTAGTTTCAAGTCTTCAATACAGCATGATGTTCATTTAGTAACTTATGGTCCATTTAGAGTCACACAGACCATAAAGCAGGGGATGCTTTAGGGTGGGGCTACACGGTGATTGACAGGTCTCTACCAGAGACATATACGGCGTCTCTACGTCACTCCTCCTCAGTCCAGATATGCTCACTTCCTGTTCACTGGTTGATAAATAAACAAGATGGCGACGGACAAAACATAGAAATCGAGGCTTCAAAACATTCGTCCACAAACCAACGAGAGACTTCAGGATGACGACGTCCGGCCGGGAGGAAACGGAGAAAAATGTGTCCCAGAAGATAACATAAGTCAGACCGACACACACACACACACACACACACACACACACACACACACACACACA